GGGTGGGGAGGTAGAGGACCCCAACTGCAGGACGCAGCAGAACGGCGCGGGCATTGGCTGAACGAGCTGTCCAGCTGGGGGACGAGGCAGCGTGGGCAGGTCCACGGGAAGCTTTGGGCGGGGCGTAACGTAGTCCTCGCGCGATTGGCCGAGCTGGCTGTCAAGAACAGTAATTAGTTTGGATAGGCGGGTCTTTGGGAGGTGTTGTGGGTTACGTCATCCTCGCACCATTTGCGGAGAGACTGTCAGGCGTTGGCAGGAGGCCACGTAGGCGGGCGCGCGAGATGCATTTTGGATAATGTAGTTCTGGAACCCCTGGCTGAACCGCTGTGAGTGTGGGGACGAGGCATAGGTGAGCCCCCGGTCAGCGTTGTGTGTAATTAGTGCCCCCCTACCCCGCGCCTTCAGTGAGTACACGCTGGTGCTCGGAGGCTCCGCATTGGGCCATTTCCCCGTCTCCCTTCCACACCTACCCTCCCACTGTGGAGGGGACCTTGAGAAGTTACTTTTTTACTTATATAGTACTTTGTACTCAAGGGGGGAAGCCAGCATCTCCTTGGCTTCAATAGGCTTGTTTAGACATGACAAGAGGTCAGAGGTAAGGGAAGATAGTCAGGCTCTGTTCTAAGGGCTTTCCTATTATTAACCCGATTCCTCTTTGAAACAACCCTAGGAGGTAGGTAGGGTTACCCCTATTTCATAGATGAGAAATCGGAGGCACAGAGAAGTTCAGTGAGGTTGGAAGCCAGACATCTATCCTAGTTCGACCCCTTAATTTTTTTAAATCCTCATTCAAGGATGTTTTTTTTATTGATGAGTGAGAGAGAGAGAGAGAAGAAGGAGAAGAAGAAGAAGAAGAAGAAGAAGAAGCTATGTAGTGTCTGATGACTAGTAATCTCTCAGGTTATGTTAACCCTGTAAATACCAGAAGAGGAGGAAGAGGAGGAGGAGGAGGAGGAAGAGCAGGAGGAGGAGGAGGAGGAGGGGGAGGGAGAGGGGGAGAGAGAGAGAAACATCAATTGGTTGCCTCCCATAGGTGCCCTAACAAGGGATGGAACCCACAAACTGGGTATGTTTCCTGACCGATAATCGAACCATTGAACCTTCGGTGGGTGGGAGGATGCTCTAACCACGGAGACACATCAGCCAGGGCGTCAGCCCCCTTAACTTTAGAGACTCTCCAGTCTCATGTTTTGTTCCCTGTCCCCTTACATCCGGTACCCAGTTTTTATTGTGAGGGCACCAGGCAGAACCAGACACTGGGTTGCCCATGACTGATTTCTGTAGACCACCACCTCCCTGAGTGGGAGGCATCTTTAAGGGCAGATGACAGGTTTCTGGACTGCCCTCGGCCCCCACAGCCTTGTGGGACCTGGAGAAAGCAGGCCCATATGTGCCTCAGTTTCTCCTTACAGCACCAGGCCGCTTCTCAGGAAAGTCGGAATCTTAGAATGAACTACCCCTGGTTATGGGTGTGTTGTTGGGACTACCAAGGCATGCAGCTGTGTAGAGAACTGGTGCCCAAGTCCAGCCAGGAGGCCTGCCATTCTGTCTGCTCCAGGAGGGTGTGGAAAGGGATAATTTGAACAAGTCACATCAATGTTTCTCTCCCTCTCTCTTCAATCAATAAAAACATACTTCTAAATAAAAAAACAAACAAACAAACAAACAAACAAAAACACACACCCCACAGCAGTGCCAGCATGATGACAGATGGCTGCTGACACAGGCCTCTGTGTCAGGGACACAGGAAGTAGTGGGAGATGTAGACCCCATGCTGCCAGCCAATCAGATTGTTCCCCAGAAGCCAGATATCTCCATGTTTAGGTGAAAACTCCCAATTCTAAATGTAGACTTAAAATGGTTTTAAATCCTGTTTCAAATAAACAAAACACAACAGCACGTGTCTGGGCTGTGTCTGGCGCACACAGACCTATAAGATGATGCAGGCGGGATGCAGGTGGAGACAATGCTCCGAAGAAAAGCAGTGCACCCCGAGGGAGAGAGTGGTGCGGTTGCTCTTTCAGGTAGAGAATATTGCAACAAAAGGACTGTTCACTCACCTGGGTTCTACTCAAGGGGGGAAGCCAGCATCTCCTTGGCTTCAATAGGCTTGTTTAGACATGACAAGAGGTCAGAGGTAAGGGAAGATAGTCAGAGGTAAAATGTCCAGTTTACTCCCAAAAAATCTGTAGGCTGAAGCCAATCCTGCAGAGGAGGCCAGCCTGTGAGACTGAGACAGACAGACACACAGAGAGAGTGGGGAGGGGTGGAATTAAAAGCATCAGTGGTACCCTAGCTGGTTTGGCTCAGCGGATGGAGCATCAGCCTGCGAACTGAAGGGTCCTGGGTTTGATTCCGGTCAAGGACACATGCCCAGGTTGCGGGCTCAATCCCCAGTAGGGGGCATGCAGGAGGCAGCCGATCAATGATTCTCATCATTGCTGTTTCTATCTCTCTCTCTTTCCCCTCTCCCTTTCTCTCTGAAATCAATAAAAAAATATATATATATTTTAAAAAAGCATCAGTGGTAAGAGAAGATTCTTACTGAAGGCAGGCCAAGGTGATTAGACATAACCTGAGGGATGCTGAAGGTTGAGGACCCCCATCAGATACCAAGGTAGAGCATTCTGGCTACACTGACTTAGCAGGATTCTTGCTAAGACTGGGCAATGCCGAGATGAACACAGGTAAGCCCAGAAGTCAGAGCCTAGTAGAGAAGGGAGTTTGAGTAGAGTTTAGTCAAGATCATCTTTGCCACCACTTCCAGGGTAATCAGACGCCCTATCCCTGACAGGAAGGAAGACTGCTCTGGAGAAGCTGGGGGTGCCCTTTGGGGTTCTCATTTCTAAAGCAGAAGTTGTTCAAGATAAGACTACTAAAGAGAGGCCAAGTGCCTGTGCCCACCCTCTGCCTGGGAGATAAAGCCTCCGGGTTCAAGGTGTAGCCCTCCCTACCCAAGCTCCCAACAACTTCCAACCCCTATTTCTTTCTGAACAATAATAATGGCCACCAATCCCTTAGCACCAGGCAATACTGTACATACTTGCATTCCGTTTGTTCCAAATTTAGTAATAATATATAGGGTGTCCCCAAAAATATATACACACACACTTTGAATAATTAAATAGGCAGTGTTTATTAGAATACATTTCATTTTCAAAATTGAGTTACCAGCTGTTAAAATATGTATACATTTTGGACACCCCGTAGGTACTGTGATTATCTTTACAGGTCAAACAAACAAGAAACCAACCCTGCTCCAGAGTTTTAAGTGTTGAACCCAGGCAGGGTCACGTGGTTAGGAAGTGACGGCAATGAGACTGGAACCCACACCTTTGGTTCCAGGACCCCAGCTCTTAAGCATGCTCCTCAGCTGGTGATAACAGCCGGGCACCTGCGGCCTGACTCAGCGACACGGGAGTCTCTCCCCCTGTCCTCGCTGGCGAACTCTCTCTGCCCAGTTTCCCTGCCTGGGCGAACCCAGCACCCCCTGCCCACAGAAGCCAGGACGGGTGGCAGCCCAGGTTGGAGTCCCACCTCTGCTTCGGTGGCTGCAACTGCAGGAAAGTCATTGCCTGGACGTCACCTTCCCTCCCGGAGCTTCAATCTCGGAGCTGGGGAGAGAGCCTCACCGGGAAGCAGGCACCAGCCCTGCCCATGTAGCCAAGTGGTTAGAGCGTCCTCTGGAGCACGAAGATTTGCGGGTTCGATTCCTCGGACTCCCGGTCAGGGGTGCATAAGTGAGGGAACCCATTGATCTCTCTCTCCTTCTCTCTCTTTCTCTTCCTTCTCCGCCCCCTCCCCCCCCCCCCATCAATGAAAAACATAGCCTCCGGTGAGGATTAAAAACAAAAAGTAGGTGCACAATAAAGGTCAGCCTCGGGGACTAGGGCCATGGAGACGCACCCCGGACACGCCCTCGTCATTAGCCACCGCCCTCCCGCGTCTTGCCCAAAGGCTCTGC